CTACGACTGCCCTGTCAGGTCAGGTTTGGGAGTTTTGTCATGGGTGTCTACTCGGGTCTCACTCGGGTTGAAACAGACGGAGCCTACTTGTGCCCGCCGCAGTATTGGCTTCAAGCTTTGGGCGCAACTATATTGGCCATGGCTTCTGGCCTTGGACCAAGTGCAGCAAGTGCGGGTGAGGGAGCTTCGAGACAGTCGGAGGCGTGACTCTGCTTTCGCTTTCTACTTCAACACCTATGAGGAGGCAAAATTAGCGGATGGGGTTCTTCTCGCAGGTGCCTGGGCTCGTATGAGGGCCTTGGAAGAAGAGAAATTTCTTCCTGCTGCAGCTGCCGCATTGGAGTCGAGGTCAAGCGCATCCTCCTTCTCCTTCAGGGGGCCTTCATCAAAAGCGGATCTACCAATCTCGAAGAGGTCTACAGTCCGAGTGATGAAGCCTACGGGCCAGATTCTGAAGGAATCTTTTCCGAATGGAAAACTGGAGTGACCAGGCGGCTTTCCCAGGAAAATTTCACGCATGCTGACAAAGCAACGGTCATCAATGCAGTGCGGACCTACGCTGAACTCAAGCACTTCATGGCAGCCAGGGATCGCGAGATGCCTCCAGAGGAGCTGGACTTGCGACCTTTCTTGGACACTGGCACGGAAGGCCCAGTGATGGCTTTCAATTCCTTGCGGTGGATCTCTCGACAAAAACAGCTTAACTGGCTGCTGGAAGAATCCAGTCAGCGCCAACAGCAGGTTCCAGAAAACAACGCAGGTCACAAGCAGTCGTGGTAGAATCCCCAATGTTGTGCTATTTGGAGGACATGATTGAGGATTTCTTCCGCCTCAACAATGCCAACTGGCGACGGTTGTTGGGATGCTGGTTGGTGGGGCAAGGATGCTTGAGGTACAGGCATCTTTCGTTATCCACCCCAGTGAATGACAGTCTCCACGCCGCATGCCCACTGCGCCAGGGGCAAACAAGCCCACAACACAACAGGCTTCGACCGGTCAGTTCCAGCCAGGTTTGTGTGGGGCTTCTGCTGGGGCGAGCATTCGCTCCGGATAACAGCAGCCATCTCCAGCAGTGGCTGCCAGGGCTGGCTTCTGCTTCAGTCCTGTAGGAGTGCCCTTCACCATGGATGCAGCCCGGAACATTTTCCAAGATCATGTGGAACCACTGGAAGGGCTCACAACATATTCCTTTAGGCGAATCCTGCCTACGGTGGGCCACATGCTGCAGTTCTCAGACGACGACTGGATAAAGACCAGACCAAAGCAGCCATGCCCCACCACTACTCCGCGGCGAAGTATCAACAGAGCTTGGGGGTCAAGCACAGGGCCTATGAGGTAGCCTCGAACCTGGCTGAGTATGAGGTTTGGGAGATCATACCTAATGACGTTTTCCTGGAGGCGGACAAGCAGGCTCAAGCTTGAGTCAGCACGCTCATCGACCAGGACCAAATTGTCATATCAACTTCAAGCTCATTTTCGCCTCTCAGAGGAGGTGACTTCTGCGGCAAGGAAGAAGAGATCCTTGGAGCACAATCCATGGCCAAGGAAGATGTGATGCCAGCTGAGCTTCGGGGGTACGTGCTCACCCAGACGCTCAAGTCTGGAGCCATGTTGCGCACGGCCTACAATGTGGATGCCTGTGCCAAGGACCCAGAGGACTGTGAGGGCTGACACCTCTGCTTACCTCTGCTCTGTGTTGTTCCAGTCAGGACGGGCATGTAGAGCGGCAAAGCCGGCCAAAGATTGCAAAGGGAAGAGAGCCCTTACAGCGGCACGCTTCCAGCAGATGCAACCGGGGCCTATGCCGTCTTCAGCAGCAGCAGCTGGAGGAAAACCGGACGAGGAGCCGGAGCCCACTACGGATGAGAGTTCCTCATTCGAGATGTCCTTCACAGCGCCTCAAGTTCAGCGACCCTCATCCGGCCGCCAAAGAAAACATAAGAAAACCAAAGCAGCTCCGAAGGATGGGGAACATCCGAAAGGGCCAGCCAAAAGGGCGGAGAGACCGCCTAGTCCCAAGCAGCCACCGAAGAAGAAAGCCAAGCAGGCAGAGCGAGTGCCTGAAACAGCGGCTGCACCGAAGGTGGCTCCAGCTAAGCTGGAGGTCCCAGCTGTGGTGCCTTTGAATGTTCATGATCGTCGCCGGGACCAACTTGCAACCATCAAAGGGAAAACAACGGAGGCGCCTTCTATGGTGTTCAAGCTGCGTAGTGGTGGTGAGATTTGGATTGCCGGCATTCCGACGGCAGCCACCAAGTGTGTTGCATGGGAGAGACCGCAGAAGAGGGCGGGGGAGTGACCCTCGATGGTGCCCACTTGGTGCAATTCCACGTTGCCTCCGAGTATGAGAGGGCTTCAATTTGGAAGAGGATCTTTCCCCTGATTCGCCAATCGTTGTACCAAGGAGACAAAGTGCTCTTTCATTGCATTGCGGGCAGGCATCGTGCAGCGGGAGCGGGCACGGTGACTACAGCTATTATGGGGGCAGAGGAAGCGATCCCCCGCAGGCGTCCTATCCAGTTGCAGTCAGCCTTCAAGGATTGGAAGCTGTCGGATTGGGCGCACAAGATTGTCCGTTCCGCGACATTGGCGGCTCCGTTGCCCAAGGCAGTGGCACGGGCAGCATCTGAGAAGTCGCATGTGCACATCCTCTCTGAAGATGAAGGGAACATGATGACCTTGTGTGCCCACAAGCAAGGCCAGGCACGACCACGGGAGCTGAAGGACCCCAATATCACGTCCGACAAGCTCGAAGCCATTGCATGGTTTTTACCTTTTTGTTCTGGGTGCCGTGAACGTGCCCCTGCCAGCTTTTTGCTGCCGTAATTTAATTCAGGTCCCTTGTCTTTGTGACACGTCTAAGAGCGGCTCTTTTTACCGAATTACCGGTATGCCAGCCTGTTGATCGAGTGTGCAGCTTGTGCATTGGCAAAAGTAGGCTGGATTTAGAGTGTTTCTGACCGTGAGCTAAGTAACGCTTTCTAGGGGCTCACAACATATCATGCCCACTTGATAGACAGCTGAAGACGTGAGTTGCATGTGGTCATGTTTGACGCCTGTCGGTCTGGTCATCTCCCGGGAGTGACCCGGAGCAGGTGGGCTGGGCAGGAGAGTCCTGGCAGGTCAAGGTGATCCGCCCCCAAACCTACAAGGGGGCATTGAGGCATATGGGAGTTATACCCTTGTGCATGCGGGCCAGCTTGAGGTTCGAGCATCATGGCTTTCACCAAAATTGGCTCCCCAGAAGAGAGACTTCGCAAGTTAGGGGAGCAGTTTTCTCTAGAGAGAGTAGTAGTCGATGCCCCAAGTCAAGGAAAATATCCAAGACCTCGACAATTTACGAAATGTATTACAAGACCACCGGTCGAAGGTATCGATCACAGACCCGGACACTCTGCTGGACGACTCTGAGCTGCGTTCCTACAAGCAAAATGTTTGGGTCCGGTACAAGCTGAGGTTCCAGATAGAGCAGTACACCAGCGATGCTGTTTCTAGAGAGCTGGACAAGAGGATGCGCTGCGTGACTTCAGTTCGGAAAGCCAAGAGCCCCCAATGGCAACTTTTGACCACCAGCAAGAAGCGAAAGTTGGGCGATGGGCTGCTCACAGAGGAACTTGAGTTGGAGGAGTCAGGGCCGCGAGGCGTACAACACTATTTGGACAGGTTGTACACCCTCATGCTAGCTATGCCCTCGCTGGCACCTCCAGAGTGACTGGAGCGCCGCCAGCCAAGGACGAGGAGGCTTACCGAGAGGGCCCCATTTCCCCCAGCGAAGCTCTGGGCTGCGCGCCACGGATGGGAGTTGCCAGCCTTTCAACTTTACAGCTCCCTGCTATTTAAATTTGGCCTCCTTCTTGCAGTGACAAGCTTCAATCGCTACACCAAGTTTAGTTGAAGCGATGGGCCACAGATTCCTTCGGATTTTGGTTAGCATGTACTTCGATGACGCCCACCTGACAGATCTGGATTCAGTGGGCCCTTCAGCTCAATGGGCCTTTGGCGAGTTGAATGTCATGTTGGGTACCCCTTTTGCTACAGACAAGAGGCAGCCCTTTGCGCCCTCTTGCACCTTTTTGGGGCTGGACTTTGACTTCAGTACAATACAGTCCAGAAGTACAATTGCGTGACCTTTTGGGCTCTCGAGAGGGTACTCACCAAAACCCAAGGTATCATATCAGCAGCCAAGGAGACAAATCATTTTTCCCCAGCGCAAGAGTCCAAACTGTATGGGCTGCTCAGCCTTTTTGGAAAACGGCATGTTTGGGAGAGTTGGTTGCGGTGGCCTTCGTGCAATCAAGGACCACCAGTATGGGCGAACTCACACGTTGTCAAGAGCTGTCTTGACCAGTTTTGAAATCATCATCACGATCCTAGAGGCCCTACGAGCTAGCAGGTTGAACGACCTTGAGAGCTTGGAAGGAAAATATAGAGCAGTCCGTTGGAGTAGCCCCCTGGGGCGACGAGAAATGTATATGTGCATCAGGTTTTGGAAGGCTTGGGTTTGCACTATTTTGGCTCAAGTGCCTTGATCCAAAATAGCATCTTTCTGCTTTTCCCACCCAAAACCCGAGTTCTGGTCGGCCTTGTTGATGTGCCATCGCTCTTGAAGGGTCCGTTGGAGCGGGGGTTTGCGCTACTTAGCGATCTGGCCAGTTCCCTCACGAGAAACCCCTCATGTCCTGTAGAGTGTCTATCAGGCTGAGGGGTGAGGTTGGGGTTTGTGTACCCCAGGGAGTGTATCCAAGATGGGTGCATGTCAGAGTGTCTGACATATCTCACCAGGCGGGCTTGGTTGAATTGTTGAACTGGTCAGGCTGGAGCGACCAGCTACACAAAGCAAATCCTGCGGGCTAGCAGGTTGAACGGCCTTTAGAGCTCGGAAGGAAAATATAGAATTGTCCGTTGGGGTAGCTTTTGGGGTGAAGAGAACCGTATATATATATATTTACATACATACACAAACTGATCTATGTCACGCTGCTTACGGTTGAGAACGAAAGGCACCAACAGCTCGGATCCGTTGGACGACATTGACGCAGCAGTTTTGATCGAAACTCGTGGCTGTTGCTGGGAATTCGATTTTTCTGCAGGTTTCCTGAGGTTTCCTCGTTTTTTTTTCCATGTGGCATGCCCTAAGGAGGGCCAAAGAGCCGCAGGAAATAGGTTGGCCTTGAACATCGGGACCAAAATGAAAGACCCTCAACAGAAATAGTTGCCTGTGCAATCCCGTGTGAAAATCCGTGCGACAACCAGTGCTAGTGCGTCCGAAGGGATTGGGATTCTTCACAGGACCTTCATTTGTCAACTCACACTTGATGTTTTGGGACGGAAAAACCTTTTGGACAGCCCTTGACTGTCCCAGCTTGTTGCAGGAAACAGGCATGCATGGAGCATTGTAACTGCAAGTTCTTCAGTGGGTGAACCATGTGGATCACCAGTCATTGTAAGACACCATACTACTTTACCATTCGGTGCAGAACAATTTTTTTGGGTTGCATTGTTACAGTTTTGATTACGACATTGCCTTTGTTTTGCAGGGCTCCCTTGCTGGATCGTTCCTCGGTATACTACTACACTGACTACGTGGCGGGAGGGCCTAGCGAACTTCTAGTTCCACTTGAAGTGGATGTTGATTTTTAGTATTATTAGTGATTAATTATTATAAGTATAGTATTTAATCATATTTGATCAAATTTGATCATATTTGATCTCCTTGTGGACTCCTTGCCATTCTTCTGAACCTTGCATGTGGCAATTCTGTTGCTTACAGACGAGGGAAAACCTGACAAGGTGCTTCCTTTGGACGATGCTCCGGTCACAAAGGCACTGGCAAAGGAGACGCAGGGTCGACTTGTCCACTGGTGGCAAACCTTCAAACCTTAATCTGGTATCCGGGATTTGTTTGGATTTGTCCTGGTCAAGATGAGTGAAGTGCTTATTCAACTTGTGCCAGTTATATTCCGAGCTTTAGTTATATTCCGAGTTTTACTCTTGTAAGTTTGGCCTCCGCGAGCAACACACCCAGCAGGAGAACAAACTGCGAAGCAGTCCTGGATTTGCCAGTCTCTTCCCTAGATCACCAGACTGTTTAGTAAGGCATTCATTGATTTGCAAAGAATGGAACCTCCCAAGTCTTCAACTTGTTGGCTGAAAGATGGCCATGCTCAGTAGAATTTGATGAAGCTTGGGGTTGAGTTTTCTCCATTCTGAAGGAAGTGACTGCACCAACTGCAGGCACCACTGCGGCAATATTTGATGATTCTACTGCCAACAAGGACCAAAGCGATCATTCTTTGTATGGTTTCCGATGGATCGTAGAAACTGATCTTGATGGTATGATTGTTTATGTTAATCTACAATCTACACAAGACCTGTCATGTTTGCTTGCAACATAATTATGAACAACTTGCCTCTGGACGAGCTCGGCTGTTTTTTCCAATCCAGTGGAACGAGGCAGGTTCTATGAGGAATGTATCGCAGGGTTGGACTTGGTTTGCCGCACAGAGCTGGGTAGTCCATTATAGCAAAGATAGTTCTTTCTGAAACATTCTGAAACGTCGTGACTGCAGTCTCAGGGGTCCAAACAGTCACACTGTGTCACACAGTAGTTTGAACAGCATGGCGCCCTGTGAGCGATGTGTTTGCCAATTTTGTGGCAAATCTCTCGGCCTTTTTGGCATTGACGGATTTGGAGTCTGGCGACGACGCCACGAAAAGCGGTGTCGTCAAAGACAGGAAGCTTCCCGAGGTGATTGCAATGCTCAGCACTGCCTTGTTCGATCAGTTCTTCCGGCAGCGCAACCTCTGCATCATTCACCGGAGACAAACGAAGGAAAGATCCGAAAGCTTCCAACCCTTCTGCAAGGCACCCAAGGTGCCCAAGGTGGAATGCAGTCTCTAGCTGCTCAAAATCAGATTTATTTAGAGAATGTGTTGGACCGCAGGAATGAGCAACTTATCAAAGCCGTGTTGACCGAGTACTTGAAGCCGAGAAGGCACACCCAATGGGTAGACATTGTGGGCGATTCGTCCACCGACAGCGGTTTTCCTCCATGTCCATTTCCTGTCCTTTTCGGTTTTGGCACAAGCGCTGAGATTCTATTCTTGCGAGCGGCTTGTCGCCAGACGTTTCAACCATTGGAGGTTTTGGCAGAGCAGTTCGTAAATGACCTCCCCGAAAACAAATCATTCGTTCTTGAGATGGTCTGTGATTTGAGTATGAAACGCAACTTGGACTCCATCGGTGATCAGCACGTGTGGAAATCCTGCAAGGGTCTTATTTTTCTGCTTCGTCGGGCCGATGTGCTGGGCCAATGTCGCCCAGATCTGATGGAACGACTCTTGAAGGCTTTCGCTCTTTTGAGATTGGACAAGGACTGGAAAGTGCAGATCGCAGCAAATGTGCTCGTCATGACTGTCGAGAGCGTCATGACGGTCATGACACCAGATCTTCCAGGCTGTGTCGATGCTGATGTCCCTGTTCAGGCCCTGATGGCCTGAAGAATCTCAGTCTCACAAATTGAAGTGTTGCATAGTGTTGCTAAAACAGCTCTGTCATGGATTGCAAAGACGCGATGCTGCTCTAAATTGTCCAATAGCCTTAAAATTATTGGAAAGCATTGAGCACTGGTGCAGTGTTTGGTCTCTGCCCATGCGCTCTCTCTTCAGGATGCATTTCATGGCTTTTCTCGAAAGGAGGCGGGTATTGGCATAATTACTTTGATTTTCGTGTTTTCCCCCAAACAGTGTGTCCACACTGAGGGGTTCTTACGGTAGGTTTAAAGGCCGGTGCTGGTGCTTGATCAGGGTGCTCCATCTGGTTTCCGTTTTTTTTCCTGTAAATTCTCGCGTAAGCTGGCTCTTGTGCGATGTCCATGTGCATTTCGACTGCGCAGGCTCGCACAAACTCAACAAACTCTGCTGCGCGAGTTTTCCTTGATCTTGGCCTGCGGCATTTTACCTGATAATTATCGCATTAAAATCCCCCTTGCCATTTCCACACTACTAAAAGGGTGAACACGTGCTGGGCACCATCCCCCATTTTAGATATAACTTCCGAAAATGAAATCGTGCCTAGCATGTTGTAGTCAGCGATCATGCGCTGCTTCTTGTAGCGGCTTTTCACTGTTTGAACTTAGCTCTGAAAATTCGGAACTGCATTTTGTAGTGATTTATGTGGGGATGCTTTGGGTCATACAAAAAACCGTATAGTCTGCTTTGCGGGTCATGCTGAGTCACAGCAACTCCCCCAGACCATTTTCGGCTCTTGACTCACCATCATTTTGTAGGAACATTTTGATGGATGACAAAATGCATTTGTAGCAATACACTCGTGCACAAGCATTTTGTAGAACCTACTGCGTCCCCCTCCAGATGAGCACCAAAAAGTTCGAAAAACATGCTTTTTATCTAGAGACTTTAAGAAGGCAAAATGGGACAGATTTAGGTTTAAAAAGCAATCAATTGAAATTCAAGTCCTGCGCTTAGATGATTTTTGTTGCCTACGCCGTGCTTTTGTCACACCTTTTTTGGCTATTTCATGCGATTATTAATTATAATCTAAATCTATCACATTCTACCAAGTTCCTGGTCTTTTTGTCCAATAGTCAAGTTTCACCCAAGTTCAAAGAATCCATGCTCAGAGTTCCTTTCACCCACAAAGCACAGATTCGATGCGTGATGTCCTAGTTTCTGGATGACTTTTGTCATGCGCACAGCATTTTGTAGTAACACATGTGTGCACAAGCGTTTTGTAGAACCTACTGCGTCCCCCTCCAGATGAGCCCCAAAAAGTTCGAGAAACATGCTTTTTATCTAGTTTTATAAAAGAAAAATGCGACAGATTTGGTTTCAAAACCGATCAATTGAAATTCAAGTTGTGCGCTTAGATCGTTTGTGTTGCCCCATAGCTCTGAGCATCGTAGTAAAAAACACTTGAAAAGGTTAATTCTTGGAAATCGATGGAAATCCCAAGGTTGTATTTACTTTTGCTCAGCTGATTTGGACTGCCAATCCCTATTTGTTAAAAAAAGGTATGTTTAAACTATATTTGTCTACTTGTTCTTGAGTGGTTCTTATGATCTTATGATCTTATATAGTGGTGTTTGTGTTTTATTTGTGCCTTACGAAATCTTTTTTGTTCTCTAATTCACGACAGCCGGGGCCGAAACGACCAAAACAAGCAAATAATGCCTATTGTAGTTGAAATTCATCAAGCAACATATGTGCTTCTGAAAATGCACCAAACAAAAAAATCAAAAAAGGCAACGTTTTTGGCTGACCTCCGACCTTTTTGTAGTGAACCAACATTGGCCATTGATCCACCATCAAAACCCCAACAACATTTTGTAGCAAGGGGGTTGGCCCACGTAAAGGCAGCATTTTGTAGTATGAGGCTGTGCCTGTAAACGGTTTAGTTGGCACAACTTCTCTCCAGAATGCACACGGGGATGCATTCAATGGTTCTTGTTTGTTCTTGTGACATCTCCATTTGCATGTCGAGCACGCAGGCTCGCACAAAACGGGACCGATTTTTAGCCCCGAAAGAAAATCTTTAGCCCTGAACAGGTTTTTTTTAAGCCACGTAAATAGGTTTAGCCACGAAAAGTCAACATTTTAGCCTCGAAACTCAAATTTGGCAAATTCATTGAAAAAGAAAAGGAAAAAAACGACAAAAAAATAAAAAAGAAGAAAAAAAAGAAAAAAACATTACGTGACAGTACGTGGGTAACACTCTTACGCAGCTAAGTTGTTTTTCGTGGCTTAAAGAAAAAATAGGTGGCTGAAAGTTCCTGGAAAAATTACGTGGCTAAGAAAGGCAGCCCGCACAAAACGGTTGTCCCGGTCCTTGGCGCGTTTTTACTTGGTGTAAATTTGCGCATGACATGGCTCTTCTGATATGTCCAAGTGCATGTCGACTTCGCAGGCTCGCACAAAACGGTCCTGGGGCGCGGCATTTTTCCTGTAAATTCTCGCATAAGCGGGATCTTGCGAAACTCCTGCTAAATTCCTTGCTACGAGGTCCTTGCGTGATCCTCTATATACAGGTCCTTGACAGAAGATCTTGTCGGGATCCTTTCTCAGAGGTCCTTCCATGGAAGATCTTGCAGGTGCCATGTCCAAGAGGTGCTTGTATGAAAGCTCTTGTGGGAGGCACTTGGGTTCTTGTCTCAAGATCTTGTAAGATCCGCTCCAGCAGCAAGGTCCTTTTACGACGATCTTGCGCGCTTCTTTCAGGGGTCCTGGCATGAAGAAGAACTTGGTAACGGTCTTTTACAAGTCCTTGTGAGAAGCTCTTGTGGAGATGACATGCTGCCGGGTGCATTTGCATGATCTTGTGCCGGTCCTTGTGAGAAGGTTTTGAAGAGGTCCTGGTGAAATCCTCTAGCTGTGCTTAGGTCCTTGTGAGAAGATTTTGTGAGATCCTCTTAAGATCCTATGCGTTGGTGCTTGTCTGAAAGTTTTTCTGAAATGCTCACTGGAAGTTCTTGTATGAAGATCTTATGAGCTCCTCCATATATAGATCTATAATCTCATTTGTTACTGTTCCATGGCTACTGTTGCTTGTATTTGGTACATTGACTTCCTCCTCCCCACACTGTTTGGGGTCTCTTGCTCTTGCCGGTGTAATGATTTGATTTCAGACTTCATCTTCAGGCAATGTGATACATACGTTACGCAGCTACTGTAACAAGTTTTTTGTTTCAACTAGTGCTTGAACTCGTGCTCCAACTACTGAAGGGGTGAAGCGTGATGAACTCAATGTGACACTGAAGTTTGACAAACCGGTTCAAAGTGAACGGCTTCGAGGCCAGCAGGGCAAGGCAAAAAAGCTGCAAACCCAAGGCGCGGGTCAACTTGTGCACCGAATTGAGTCCAGTGCATAATCTTCCTGTCACACGGACAGTCACTGATTTGGTCTTCGCCGTCATTTACAAACCAATCCATTGTGCACAAAGCCCGCAACGTGTGAATTCTCCTTCTAGTGCCTTCTAGTGCCGCGCGTTTTGAACAACTAACTACTGAAGCATTAGTCTGTGACCATATACGGATGAGCAGGTAGAGCTTGAAAACTTGCTTTGTTTTTGAACATTTGCAGCAATTTGTGCTGGTTTCACTGCCCCCTTAAGACAAAGACAACCAGTCTAACCAGTCCTTCAATCTGGCAGCTCCACATGAAGTTCTTGCCAGGCAGGTAGAACTACCACACTACCGACGGGGGACTTACTGGAGAAGAGGCGCGGGAGTCTGCTGGAACTTCTGGCATCACATGATCAGCGCTACGCATGATGCCGTCAAATCTTTGCTAAGTTCTAGTCGAAGGAAGTTTAGAAGTGAAACTTCCGACAATATGGACAGTTGAAAAGCAGAGGTGAGAAGAGTCAGAAGAGAAAAGATCAGAAGAAAGAAGATGCAGGTGCGCGAAAAGGTAGGAACGTCGCGAAACACTGTGTTTTTCCAATGATTTGTGGCTCCGGAGGGTCGAAAAGTAGGCTGGCTAAAGCGGCGGGTGCAGCCAGCTGGCCAGATGAGAGATGAAAAATTGCACGCCGTTGTGGCGCGAAGCACATTTGCAAGTCAAAATGTACAAAACACTAGGGGTTCGGACCACTTTTGGAAGTTGAGATGTCGAAAAAGTGTACGCCGTTGTGGCGCGAAGCACATTTCGAAGTGAAAATGTACAAAGCACTAGGGGTTCGGACCACCTTTGGAAGTTGAGATGTCGAAAAAGTGCACGCCGTTGTGGCGAAGCACATTTCCAAGTCAAAATGTACAAAACACACCATGCTCGGACCACTTTTGGAAGTTGAGCTGTCGAAAAAGTGCACGCCGTTGTGGCGCGAAGCACATTTCGAAGTCAAAATGTACAAAACACACCATGCTCGGACCACTTTTGGAAGTTGAGATGTTGAAAAAGTGCACGCCGTTGTGGCGCGAAGCACATTTCGAAGTCAAAAGTGTAAAAAACTGAGGGTTTTGAGCCTTTTTTGACGTTAAGATGTCGAAAAAGTAGACACTGATTAACTTAACTAACTTGACTAACTTAACTAACTTCACTAACTTAACTACCCTAACTTCGACCACAACAGCAACAGCAACAGCAACAGCAACAGCAACAGCAACAGCAACAGCAACAGCAACAGCAACAGCAACAGCAACAACAACAACAACAACCACAACAACCACAACAACCACTACAACTACAACAACTACAACAACTACAACAACTACAACAACTACAACAACTACAACAACTACAACAACTACAACAACTACAACTACACAACAACTACAACTACAACTAGAACTAAAACTACAACAACAACTACAGCTACAACTACAACTACAACAACTACAGCTACAACAACAACAACAGCAACAACAACAACAACTACTACTACAACTACAACTACAACTACAACTACACAACAACTACAACTAGAACTATAACAACTACAGCTACAACAACAACAACAACTACAACTGCAACTGCAACTACAACAACAGCAACAACAACAACTACAACAACTACAACAACTACAACTACAACAACTACAACAACTACAAC